GCACACAGTCCAGGAGTAATGAGGGAAATTACTGAGATCGACATCAAATACAGAAAGGAGAAAGAACATCATGAAACACCTGTAAGATTTTTTTTAAAGGCACAGGAAGGCGGAATCCAAGCCCCCTTTGGAAATGCACCAACTCCTGAGTCCAACAGCACTGATTCTGACATTGTTGTGGATAGAGCTTATTTTTTCGATGTGGTGCTGCCTAAGTGCACGCCAGGGAAGTCCATTTTGAAGGACACGTTTTATGGCAAAGATCAGGGCTCGGGAATGGGGACCGAGCGTGTCCAGTTCACAGGCAGGGCGTGTCCTTACATGCATGTGCACACGTGTTGTGTGGGACTCGGTGCTTCTCCTCAGAAGAGCCCTCGCTGTGTCACAGTATCACTCAGTCACGTTCGCCCCAGGGCGCCCATTCTCACGGAACTTCATCTGACATGACGTCTGGGGGCAAGTCTCCTTTCTGATGGATTCACTCCGGGGTCACAGCCCCATGGGTTCTTTTCCCGCGTCACGTCCACCGGGCATTCGCATGCGCATTTGAGGGAAACAGCCACCACCATAGTCTATGGGAAACAATGTTAAATTCACTCAAAGTGGATTAAAATCAACTCCATTCCTTCCCACTTCCCTCCTGGTGTTCCAATCAAGATGAGCTTTTGAGAGCAAGGGGACATCTGGGCCCCTTGGGCGGTCTGGGACCTCACCTGGGCCTCTGGGTTATGGAAATGGTGGTCTGGGTTACAATCGGCAAGTACACCCCTGATTCAAGACTGGATTCTGTGTTTGTGGCCTGGGCCCTAGGGTACTGTTCTCGGCCCCGCCATGAAGGTCTGGGTCCCGGAGGGAGGTGTGAGCCCCAGGTGGAGGTCTGAGTGAGGGCAGTACGGGTACGTAGGGAAGTCTAAGTCCCAGAGGCAGTCTGGTACCTCACCTGAATGTCTGGGTTTTGGAATCGTTCAGAGTTACCCATAGAGATTACTCCACTGTCACAGCTTTGTGCTCCCAGTTTGTGGCCTGGGCCCCGGGCTGGCCTTCTCAGCCCCGCCATGAAAGTCTGGCACCCGGATGTAGGTCTGAGCCCCGGATGTAGGTCTGGGTGCTGTAGCAATGTGTGGTCACTGGGGGGGCGCTATGGGCCCAGGTGGGAGGTTTGGGGCAAGGGCAAGCCTGGGGATGATGAAATGGTGGTGAGGACTAGCCTGGGTATTTGGACTCCAATTAAGGAGTAGGCACTGGCTTCCAGTATGGTTCCCCGGAATGGCCTTCTGGTCCTCACCATAATGTCTGCGTGGACGGAAGGGGGAGTCAGGATGTGTAGGGTTTGGGGAGCTGGCTGCAGGGGTGACGGCAGATACTTTTCCAGTGGGGAAGTGGTGTGACTTGAGCAAGATCCCTTACACCACTCATTGCAAACGACCCGAGCCTGCCCCCTCCTGCCCTCGGGCCTGCTGTGGACGTGGTGCTCGTCACCGTCTAAGCGTCACCTCGTTTCCCATCCCGAGTTCGATTCCTGGTATCTCTCTCCCCCTCGGAATGCGAGCTCCAGGAGGGCTGGTGTCCGTTCCATTGTCCTAGTAACGCGGCCAGGAGCCCGAACGGTGCCTGGCAGGGGTGGGTGCACCGTGGGTGCCTGCTGAGTGGTGTAAGCTCTTCTATGGACGGTATTCCAGATGTTTCTCCTCTGTGGCCATGATTACAGCAGCTGTGGCAGTCACTGCTCTTGCCCATGTCTCCTGGTTTAAGTCTAAGTTCCTCTCCTATCCACGCCTGCCCGGGAAAGGCGAGGCATAAGGCGGCCGGCTTCAAGGTGCTTTGGAACTGGTTTGGGACGGCTCAGACCCACTCTGCATCGGCCACGGAAAAGCAGTCCTTCGTAGACATAAAGAAGCACCGTGGGCAGAGAGCAGTCCTGAAGACAGGCTGGGCCTTATGTATCACAGGGATTAATTATGTCGAGTCCCGCTGCTGACTTGGAATGCGGTTGCTCAGCCAAGAGGCGGTCGTGAATTTCCATGGATTCTCACCGCCGGACTCGCAGCCTAGCTCGGAAGTGTCTCTTCGGCCCAGGGAAGGGAGCCTCGTCTGCCCGGCGGCGCTGAGCGGCAGGAGCCCACCGCCGGCCCGCCCAGCGTGTGCTGAGGCAGCTGTTCCGTGTGGCCGCGTTGCCTTTGATCACATGGAGTCATCATGTGTTTTCTGTCCCTTTTCATCCTCAGCCATTTTCCTTCCCACGGGGTACTCACAGGGAGCCAGCAGGGAGCTGTCATTGTCAGGCCTGCCTGGGGCCCTAAGCGGTGCCCGAAGACGGATCCCCCTCCACGCACTTCACGCCCACCAGCAGCACGCTGCACGCTGCCTGTGGGTCGCACCCGGTTCCAGCAGCTCATCCGAGAGCTGAGCTCCATGGCCGTGCTCACCTGGGCCGGGTCTCACCCCACGCCCGGTGTTCCATTGAACCCCGAGGATGTCGCGCATGCCCTGTGCTGATTGGCCAGGAAATGGAAAGGAAAAATAGTCACTGAAGACTCATGTGGTTTTTAACACTTTTTATTGGAATTTATTTTCCAAATGAGCCTCCCCTGCTTCCCAGGACGGCTCTGAGGGGGTTCCGCTAAAGCTTCCAGAGAAGCCAGCTGAGGGCCTGGCCGGGTGAGGGGTTTCAGTATCTGCGGGGCCTTTGTGGGCCTGGCCTACCGCCTGAAGCACGTTTTTCTGAGGAAGTTCCAGCTAAAGCGTGAAGGCTCTGTGGCCTGGGGACAGGATAAAAGTCCATGTTGGTTCCAGATGCCGAAATAAAAACCCCGGCCTCAACGTTACCCTTTAAAAAACAGTAAGAGTTCATTCTGGCTTCATGTGTTTTTTTTTAATAAACATTTTAATTCCGTTTTAATGCCAAACAGGCAGTTTACCTCTATTTTTTAGGAAGCTGGTACAAAAGATGAGAAAGGCATTTCCTAACTGGGGAGCGGAGGAGGGTAAAACAATGGATAGTATGTAGTCAGGATAAGTCCAGAGAGAGGCAATTCTAATTAAAGTGGCCAAAGGCAACTAAACAGGCTTTTAAAACTGGGCAAGGACGAGAGGAGTAAGGGAATAACAGGAAGAGAAGGCTCCTCGCGGAAGCAGAATGCACGGTGTTAGCAGGTGACGAGGCCCCAGGTCCCATTTTCCTGGCAGAGAACATTTCCCACGTTAGGAGGACAGAACAAGAGGTTTCAGGAGGAACTTACACTAGAGAAAAGCGAGGACAGGACCGGGGTCCCTCTCCTAAGCGTTTGGACAAACACTTTCCGAGCATCATCCCCGAGGCACAGCTGGGATCTGGGAGACGCCAGAGAGAAAGACCAGCCAGAGGTCGGAGCTCTGAGGGTGGATTTACGTTTAACTTTTCAACATGGGACTTGGAGGCAGAATTTCAAGGTGGGATGTGGCTTACTCAGCTCTGCCAGCTGGCTCATCTACAACCCGCCTGACCAAGGTTAAGTCACCTTGAGAGTGACAGAGCAGCAGCACGGAGGAAACAGCCCATTCTCCTCCCTCCCCCCACCCCCCCTCCCTCTCCCCAACAAAAACCAGGTCAGCTCCAGCTAACGGAACCGCGCCTCGTCAGTTCTCCCTCTGGCATCTTTGTGGGGTATTTGCGTTTGGCCGCAGCTTGCTGGCCATAAGCACCCATCTGTTGGCTGTGTACTCAAGCGACACCCGTCTGTGTGCTCTGGCTGACCCAGCGGCCGAGCAGAAGGCATGGGAAGTGGTTACTAACAGGCCTTTTAATCCGAAATTTGAGTTTGTTTCCCGTTTACATGTTTGGATAAGTGAATGTGTTTGGGTGTCTTGGCTCAAGGTATTTTCATTATCGCCTCAAAGGGTGCAATTTGAAATGGCCAGTGAGATTTTAAAAACAAACAAACAAAAAAAAGAACAACAAAGCATAACCTTCTAGCTAGTCTGATGGTACAAATATGTCATAAAGCTTTATGATAATCAAATAAAAGTATCAAATTGCTTATTAACCACTTTAGATTGCTGTAGTGGATAAGTGAATAAAGGAATAAATAAGTTAATAAAAAGACAGCAAACTTAACGCCCTAAATGTGTACCATCCATACTTTTCTGGGAATATATGACCTGATGATATGTATAAATACACAGAGTATACAGGGGTGGGCAAACTAGGTTTAGATAATACAAATAAATAATACAATAATCGGTAAATAAGAATAGAAGAATAAACTCTTTTTGCATTCTCACAGCTGTAAGCCTACTTTCTCCCACCCCCGTCCATACATCCATGCACCCATATGCACAGACTTGATAGTCTGTTGACCCTCGGCATACTGTCCCAACAAGTCTCAGTTATTTAGCTGGATCCTGGGCTTCTTTAACAGAAGTGGCCTCTGACATCTTGGGGGTTGGGGGAACAGTCTTTCTGGGACACCAGCAGAACAGCCGTCTGGGCCTCCCACCCTCCAGAGACTGGAATCCTCTCTGCCTGTTCCTCTCTCCTTCGTGTCACAACCTAAAATAGGACGTCTGGCTCCCAAAGACCGCGGAGACTCAGGAGCCGAGGCGAGGCTGTATCTCCACCGCCGTCCTTGGTAGAATCACAGGCAGCACGTGGTCCACGCCTCCCCTCCTCACTGAGTCCATGGTCACCCGAGTCGCTTCCCCACAGGCCCTCCTCCGGGCAGGAGCTCGCCAAGGGGCCTTCTCGTGTCAAGAATGAAGCTCTCGTCACTATCGTCTCGGACGTGCCTGTCGCCATTAATTTACGCTTTTCACCAAAACCCTCCCCTCAGGATGTCCATTCCTTTCATGCCTGTTGTCAGGGGATGAACGTCACCTGGTCCTGTTTCTGACTCCTCTCCCCGAGTCTGAGAGGCCGTGATGGCCAGGGCTTAACAAGGAAGACGTGTCCTCACGGCCCAGCATTTCAGAACTGGGGCCGACCCGGTCACATTCCTGTTTGTCACCCATTTCTCTCTCCACAGCCGGCTGCCCCGACTCCTTGATCAAAGAGCTCCATCACTTCAGGATCCTCGGGGACGAGCAGGTGAGTCAGCTCCGAGGCCCCACACCATGCGCGTCGCTAAGAGACGGCCTGGGCTCCCCCGGGGCGGGGTGTCCCCTGACCCCGGTTGCCTTAAATGGGGGGAACGTGCACTGGGGTCTGTGTGAGCACACTCCTCCCTGTCCGACCCACCAGAGCACTTCATCCCGACACCAGCAGAGAGGGGGAGACTGGCAGAGGAGCCAGCCAATAGCGGGAGCGGGCTGCGAGGGACCTTGTCTGCGGTGGAGGGGCCGGCTCTGTCCAGTTCCTCTGCGGCCTGGCTGTGTGGCGCAGACACTGCATGTCCCACTCAAGGCAGACTCGCTAACTTCTTTCTGTGTGCTCAGGAAGAGGCATCTGATTTAAATACGTAGATGTGCTACGTAAATGACCCAGCTGCTGGACAACATACATGTTAGAAACATAATACAGAGCGTGTTATCTGTGAGTAGCGCGCGCGCGCGCGCACACACACACACACACACACACGTGACTGCTTAAAATAACCCGATGTGGGGCTGCACCTGTCCGCCCTCTGCAGTGCTCACTGTCCCGCTCTGTCCCCGCAGTACGGCCGCTACCAGCACTACGGCGCCGAGGAGTGCGTGCTGCGCATGGGCGGCGTGCTGTGCCCGCGCCCCGGCTGCGGCGCCGGGCTGCTCCCCGAGCCCGGCCAGCGGAGGGTCACCTGCGAGGGCGGCGGCGGCCTGGGCTGCGCGGTGAGTACCCGGCACCCGTGTCGCTCTTCTGCGTTCGCTGCTCGGCCGCTGGCTGGGCTTCCTGTGTGCTGTGGTCCCATTGCCCGTTTGAACTCAACGTCTTTGAACTGGTGAATAAGAGAAAGACTTACAAATTCTTACACAGGACTGCAGAGTGATAGATAGATGGTAGACAGAGATAGATGATAGATAGATAGATAGATAGATAGATAGATGATAGACAGATGACAAATAGATGATAAAAAGATAGAAAGGCAAATAGATAATAAAAAGATAGATAGGTGATAGGTAGGTGATAGATGATAAAATGATAGATGATAGATAGATAATAGGCAAATAGATGATAAAATGATAGGTGATAGATGATAGATGACAGATGATAGTCAAATAGATGATAAAATGATAGATAGGTGATAGATGATTGATAGATAGATAGATAGTTAGATAGATGATAGGTAGATAGATGATAGGTAGGTGGGTAGGTAGAGATGTATTTCTTGGGGGGAGGGAGGTGTCGCTTTCATTGGTCTCGCGTGTTTGCTCGAAGCCGTGGGGAGCCACCAGACCAGTCATGAACTTGTCTCGGGGCTCAGCTGACTCGGAGCGGAAGCGGCTGGAGGAGAGGGGGTGCGGGCAGAGAGTCCCTGTCCTCGGGGTCCGAGCAAGGCTGTCGGCCTGGTACCTCAAGGAGCAGAAAGAGGGTCCACGTGGGAAACTGGGGATGCTGTCCGTCACAGATCATTGCTGACGGCGGGAGCGGAGCAAGTGGTGCCCGGGGAGCAGGGAGCACCAAGGGGATGTTGGTGTCCGGAGCTCGGGCCCCGGGCCTGGCTCCTGGCTGGGTCTGGCCGGGTGACGGCGGGGTGAGGCCGGCGACGCAGGGGCCACGGCGTTATAAACTGAAGGGGCAGGTGGGCGGTCCCGCCAGGAGACCGTGCCGGCGGGGAGGGGGAGGGGGTTCTGACCGCCACGCCGTGGCCTGTGGGAGGGACGTGGGCTCAGCGGCACTTCGCGGGGCTGAGAGGGCCGGGGGCGGGCACACCACCCAGCGGGCTGAGCACGGAGGCACCTGTCACCCCGAAAAGCCGCCTGTCACTTTGGGGTGCTGTTGAAAAAGTGAGGGCCACGTGCCTGAGCAGAAAGACGCCCTGGTCCGCAGTGCAAGGCGCCAGCTCCCCGGAGCAGAGCCGCGCAGAGGGCACAGGAGCCCGCCCGTCCCGCCTCCGCCGCTGTGACTGCCGTGGGCCCCCGCCCGCGTGTGGCCTACCGGGCAGGGAGCCCCGGGGTCAGAATGCCGCGGCTGTTTCCTCCGAATGAGCTCCAGTCGGTTTTAACCAACGGCGATATGGCGTGCTCCTCCCGCGGACTGCCGTGCTCGCCGCATTCCCTAACGCTGGGTCATGACCGTCGTTCGCCCTGGCCCGTGTGGCTCGGCTGGTTGGGGTGGTCCCTGGGGCACGGAAAGGTGTGCGGGTTCTGTTCCCGCAGATACACAATGCTTAGAATAGTGTCTGGCATTACGTGTATATTTCCTTAGTCAAACCTTAATATTCATCCAAAGCTCCCCTAAAGGACCCCACATTCAAGGAAATGTACTTCCAGGACATACGCAAAGAGGCTCAGACCCAAACTGAGTTCGTCCGTGGAGTTCAGATGTGTAGCCTCAGAGGGGCTCCGAGAGGCACAGACACAGCCTCCGTGTGAGGCATACCGAGGGACCTGTGAGGTGTTATTCTGCTCGTGGCCAGGCCCCACCACACGCCAGGAGCCCCGCATCCAGGACGGCTGGTGTCCATGGTCTTCGTCCGAAGCAGCAGCTGCCAGCACCGTGACCGTGCGGCTTCGCTGGCGTGAGTGCAGGTGCGCGTTCGTGAGGCACTTGCCTGGCGCTGGGCCTGTCGGTTGGGGCCAGAGGACAGGCGCTGCTGTCACGGGGCTCCCCTGTCCCCGGAGCAGGGTCCCGGCTCCTCAGTGAGGGCGGGTTTCTGTGGGAAGGAGAATGCCCACCCTCCAGGAGGGATGGGGAGGGCGTGGGGGCAGCAGACTTACCGCCATCACGAAGGGGTATTCCAGGCCAGCGCCGCCTACCAGGATCGGAGGAGCTGGCGAGTCACACCTGTTTCCTGTCCTCGGTGTTTATATTCTGGACGTCATCAAATCCATGTGGTGGGGTTTGGCATTTGCTGAATGAATGAATGAATGAATGAATGAATGTTATGTAGAAGTGATATGAAGGCGCCATCACCTTCATTGTCAAATATCAATGGTCATTTATCCAATCTTAGGATTGCTTACCTTGCCTCAACAAATGTGGAACTCCTTTATGCACTTACACAGCAAACAGGGTTTTATTAGCACACAAAACACAGAATTCAGATACCAAAGGATGTAAGCTCAGAGACCCACAAAAACTCAATTAGGAACTGAGGCTCATGTGCCCGCAGGGGGCCACGTGGCCTGATGAAGGACTCCGTCACTCTGACAGGTAAAGTGTGTCTGTCTCGACGGCAAGGCTTTCGTCCTGAAACAGCCCGGAATGTTCTCACAGTGACACACAGCACTCGGTGGAGAATATTCTTGGGGTCAGATCTCCTGACCTCACCCTCTGCCAGCCTCTGATCGTCCTTTCACTGCCGCTCATAAAAACGTTCATTGATTTCCTGCGGAATTGGTGTCACGCATTCTTCTTCTCAGAACTGTCTCTAACTTTTATGACTCGGAAGTGAAATGTTGACGTGTTTGATACTGGAAAATGGCCGGCGAATATGGAATACGTTACAGTCACTCACCAGGAACCCAGAAAGCCATGGCCACGAGCCTCGGGAACGTTCTGTAAATCAAGCGTCTTCATCTCCCGTGGCGTTGCTTGGGGATAGTGTGTGTCTGGGAGGTTATTTCTAAAACAACACTAGTAATCGGAGCCCTGAGGGCACAGGTGAGCGACGCCGTGTCCCCTGCACCTGAGTCCTCAGCTGAGCAGCGGGTCTGGTTCCTCTCAGAGACGCCCGCTCCCCTGCTCCACGGTGACTGCCCGAGTGATTGACAAGCGCGTGGCCTGCCGACCATGCGACCAGCTTAGGCCGCTGGAGGGACAGGACCCGTCACCCAGACGCGCCCACGGATCTCCCCGCCTCCCCACGCATCTACTTCAACGCCCACGGGTCACTTCCGCCATCGGACGGCGAGAGGCTGCCGACACGCGTCAGTTTGACGGGAAGACACGCTGGGCTGCAGGGAGCGACCCCCGATGGGGCCGTGGCCGTGGCCCGTGCGCCACGCGGATACGCAGCGGCCGCTGTAAGGAGTGGTCTCCCGCGCTGAGGCTGCCGGACCACGACTGCTCTTGCTGGCATGGCGAGGATCTAAGGAAAGTGGGTCCTGCCTCCCGCGGTCCCCGATGCCCAGCAAGCCCGCCTCCCGGGCTCCCAGGGGGAGGTGGCGGAAGGCCTCTGTTTGCCTTTTCCCCAGTTTTGTTTTAATTCCGAGAAACGTCCTCCGGCCTCCTGCCTCACACAGGCCCTCGCCTGGCCATGCCCCGGCACCGCCCCCAGAGGGTCAGCCCGCCTCCCAGAGGCGAAGTTACCTTCCCACAGGCGTCCCCGGTGTCTGAGTGCATCAGGCACGCCCCTCCCCTCGCTCCGCAGTGGCCGTCTCCTCCCCTGGAGCCTGATGCTGCCAGGACCAGGCCTCGCAGCACCCTCGGTGGGGGCCCACCCGGTGCCTGCCATCGCCTACTCAGCACGCGGTACCTTTTTGTGGGCATTTAACCTGCACACCTGTCATCGTCGGTGACATGCGGGCCGTACTTTGTCAGCCACCACATCGGGAGATCGAGTCTTTACCGAGAACACACGCATGGACTCCTCTCTCCACTCTGTCCAATCTGCATCAACTTCATGGATGGGTTGTTTGCCACAGAAGTTCACATGGGATCCAATATTTTAAACTTAAAAAAAAAAGGCAAGTTGTAAAAGACACTGTTTGTCAGTCTCCCGTTGCTGCCAGAACCATCACCACAAGCTGGCGGCGTCACGTGGCGTTTGCCATTATCCTCCGTCTAACGGGCCTGGCCGGGTACCAGAAGGCCGGCTTCCCGCGGCCGCCAGGCGGGGGAAGAGCGGATGGCGGGCACTTCCAGAAGCTGAGGAACGCCCGCGGGCATCCTGGCTCTGGCTGGACGTGGAGATGACCCGGTCACCCGCATCAGGCCGCCTCCTCGCCCGGCCGGATGCTGGGGCCATCAGACCATGGATGCGGCGGGTCCGAGCGTCCTGCCGGGAAGACAATTTGTCCCTCAGCGGGGCAGCGGGGAACAGCTGGTCCGAGACGCCTGAAAGGGGAAGTTTGGGGCAAGTTGTGTTTTTCCGGTTTAATAGAAAACCTCACTGAGCCGTGGCCTCCCAAGTCACCAGGTGATGTGTGGGGTCCTCCCCCCCCCTCCCGCCCGCCTCGCTGGCCGGTGGAGAGTGGCCCCCGCACGGCCCCGCCTCGCAGCAGACCCCAGCAGCCACAGACGCTGCGGGCGACGTGCTCAAGGCCCGGGGGCAGCACCACGGGGGACGTTCGGTAAAATGTGGCGCTTACCTCCGGTCCGGCCTTTAAAAGGCCCCCTCTCCCGGGAGAGCTCGTACACAGGCCCCACGGGGCGGCTTCTCTCCCTCCTGCACGCCGACGGCCCAGGCAAGCGTCCTTTTTATTGTGAATCCTCACCCGGGGGATTCCTCCAACTGCCCACTGGCTGTGGGCGTTTAAATGTCCTATTAGACTTGGTGCAGAGCTCAGTGAGGCGGCGTCCGCGGGCGCCCACGGGCCCGGACTGTCAGCAGAGCGGCAGTCTGCCTTCACCACGGGGGCGAGCGTTTGTGAAGGTTGGGGGTGGCTCCTTCCACAGGAGAACCGTTGATGGGGAGTCCCTGCCTCCCAGGCTCGGGGGCATCCCCGCCAGCCAGCGCCGTGGCCTTGCCTCCAAGCTGTCGCTGGTCACTCACTCGTGGCATTGG